GATTTTTTTGATCTAGAAACGAGCATTTTAGAAAAGTCCCAATGATTGAAATTCTAATATCTATAACAATTCAAGTGAAATTTTCACAACCTTGACGAAAATTGCAAATGTGACAGATTTGCTGCTCCATTTTTGAGATTTCCAAACAAAGCGTATATTAAGGAATTTATCGCCGACGTAATTTCGTTTTCTCACGGGTATCGTAGTATATACATGATATGGCTGGAAATATGGCTTATTGAGACAAAAACAAAACGAAGGTAGGCATTAAAAGGCATCAGTGGTAAACTTAGGATACTCATAACGTAAATGCGAAAAATCGCATAATTGTTGTGATGATGCCACAGCAATCCCTCATTGTGATAAAATTACAGTGCTCGTTGTAATTTCAACGTTCTTGCCCCAGAATGGGAGACAGATCCATTATCAAATGGAGTGGACTTGAACGGCGTATGTCGATTAGAAGCACACCCTTACTCAAACTGAAGTGACGTCTCTGTCAGGAGAGCTAGCTAGTATTCCACAATGACCATTCAAAACTTAGTCTTCTTATAAGCATGCTCCTGGCTGAGAGACTAAACATAATCAGAGCCCCTTCCCCTCCCCATTAACATCGTCAGAAGAAGAGCCCAAAATGATTAGGAAACTGTAACCTTTCAGCAATTACATGTTTTTCGTTTTTTCTCATTCAGAAATCACTTCATATTCTAGAACAGAAGCATCGAGTTGAAATCTGCTCTTCTACTATGACAAGCGAATGCCGTAGCCCTATCACGAACTTCATATGATTATCCGATGAGTACCCAAACTTGGCCCTCACATTCTTTAGTGCTGATTGTCTAGCCCATCGCATTTTTTTTACCCTTTGTATGTATTTCAATGATTCATCTGTTTAGATGTCTAATTCATGCAATTCGTTAATAGGACCAGACGACAGAAAGCCGGAGGGAAGAATCTCATCGAGGAAAGGAGGGAGATGAAAATATGCTCGGCTCTTTTCATCGACCACAGATTGACTGCTGTTATAATCAAATGTTATAAACGGGATGACGGTCGAAGTGTTTCGTAATGCAGAAAAATAATAGAAGCGGCAGCAGCGCTTTCGCCTCCATAAACAGTCTGTGAAATTATTAAACCATTTCGGCACCAAATGGTCTCTGAAAACATTGGAATAATATGAAAATCATCGTTAATACATTCATACCTTTCCTTGCGTTCTTAATTAATCACTGAAAGGCTGATCTTTAGGCGTAATTAATTTCTCCATAGCAATCAAGTAATGCAGAGTAGGTAAAATAATGCATAGGTCCTCCAATACCAGATTTCACGACGTTTTGTACCTTCCTTTGAATTTGGTAACCTAAGTTGTTGCCTAGATCCTAGTGATTTTGTTGGTAACTTGAAATTTTCTCTCTTCACCAAATTTCAGAGTTCAGTTATACTTTCGTTGGAATAAACTTATAGCGATAAAACGAAACTTACATGCCAACACCGGCATACTAAACCACAGGCCGGAAATTAAGAAGGCGAAGACGGCAAGCATCACCATTTACCGTCAACGGCCAAAACAAACGAGCGTCTCTGTCGCCTAATGATCGAGCTCTAAATCTCTCAATTGATGTGAACAGTAGGTTACCGGGTGACTACAATGTAGACCTTCAAAAAAGGGTGGAAACCCAGAGAACGTTCAATTTAGCACAACCCTTGATTAGTCGTTGCTTTTTGTATCTGTCCGAGAATTCATTATCTGTAGCAATTATGACAGTCGAAAGAAGTGCTTAGATTGTCATTTGACAGTGACCTGCATTTTGTCAATTCAGAGTGGCGCATCATCAAAGACGACTAGGCGGATG